TATAAGTTCAGGAGAATGAGGTATATCGGACAATATCAGTTATATAGACAAGGAACAATAATGGCCCCAGTATAGACCCTTGGGGGACTCCTTGTTCAACTTTATCTTTGCAGAAATAGTGTTATTCAGTGTTACATATTGATAACGATCTTCTAGGTAACTTTTAAACAGTTGTAGTGCAACTCCACGCACCCCATAGCTTGATAATTTATGATCAATGATTTGAATTGTATGGAGTCAATGCCTTTTGAAGATCGAGGAAGAGCCCAAGAGTATATTTTTTGTTTCCATATTTTCGATTATCTTATCGTTGATATACGTAGAGCTTGTTCTGTGATTTATTTTTTGAAAACCATACGACTTTTTGTTATTATTTGGTGCTCATCCAAAAAGGATGCAAGTCTATCATAAATAACCCCTTCAAATATTTTTGATATTGTTGGAAGCACAGATATAGGTCGATAGTTCGCTAAAGTATGATATTACACCTTTATGTACTGCAGTGACTTTTGCTACTTTTAGCTGCTCTGGAATACACCGTTAGTGAGGGTGAGGTTGATAATATAGGCCAAGACATTAGATATCAATGGATGACCACCATTTTTAACTCAACAGAACCTATCTCATCAATCCCTGATGCAACATTGTTTTTTAAGTTTCGAATTAATCTTTCTACTTCCCCGGATCTGTGGGTGCGAGAAAAATAGAATACGGCAAAGGAGATTTATCAGGAGTTGGAGCATTATCCTCGCTTTTCATCCGGTAAAAATGAAAGAACCCGCATTTATGAAATGTTCATTCATGACATTGGCCAACCTTTCACCACTGAAAATCTGACCATTAATTGTTAGGTCCTGTCCTATTACAACAATTTTTTCCGTTCGTAATCCCATTTATGACCTCCATAGCTTCCTCTGGTCATTGTAAACGCTTTCAAATAATTTTTCATTGTAGTTCTGTTTAGCCTTCCGTATTTCTGAATTTAAAACGTTTCTATATTTCTTGTACTCAGCTAAGGCGTCTGTGTTCCGCGAACGGATGAAATCATGATACAATTATTCTTTATTTTTATGCGCCGGTAAATATCACGATTTATCCAAGGCTTTCTGCTTTCTTATTTCTGCCACGTGAGCGCTTCTGAAGTGGAAATGCCGCATCATAGCTAGTACTCAATAACGTCATGAATGTGTTATAAGCATCATCAGGATTTTCTTGTCTATAAACAGTGGTCCAATCTATGTTCTGAACTAGCTGAAAAAAATGTTCCCGAGTTTTGCTGTTTTTAATTCGGTGGAAAGATGTCTCTGTTTTCTGACCAATTTGAGAAGTAACTGGCGCAAAAAAGAAAATGGGCATATGATCACTTATGTCATACGCAAATACCCCGGATTTTATATTCTGTGAGCTTAAATTTGAGGCGCATATATCAAGGAGCGTAGCACTTGTTGATGTAATCCTAGTAGGTGAACGTATAAAATTTGTACTTCCATATGTAAGTAAGAGCGTTTCAAAATGTTTTGCATAAGGATCATTGGAACAGAGGTCAATGTTTATGTCACCCATAACTATGCAAGGAGTATTCCCGCGAACAGTGGATAACACAACATTAAGATACTCAATAAAATTTTTTGTGGCCATGTGGTGGCCTATATACGCCAATTACTATGAATGGGCCAACACATTGTAATGCATTCAACAATCATCGTTTGTGTACACTGAAAAGAAGACACGTCAGCAACTACTTCAACGTCAATGAGCATTCATATACCTGTTGCTTCCTAGGTGACAAGTGTAGCCAAAACTTCGCAGCAGAAGAAAGCAAAACGTTTTTCAAGGATATGTTGAAATAGCAGTCTTTTGCCTTCTTTATGGTCTCGTGTGCTGTAAACGCATAATATAAAATTTGATACATAAGGTGACTTCGGTTTCTGGTGCTGTTGTTTACACATATTCCTTACTTTGCGTCCCATTCGCGCTACTTCCATGGTCATCCATAGGTGAGTAGACTGTATTCTGATAGTTTTTGAGGGCATTTGACTTGAGGTATTGAAAAAGAAGAATATTGAAGAAACCTCCAAAATCTTCGACAAGAGAACTGCTTGACTAGTACATTATACTGACATCAAAAAACAATGTATCTAACAATTTAATAAGTCATCGTCATATGCAAAAGTGAACTTTGACACTACGCTTTTTTTCCTTTACCCTTTTCATTACGTGCAGTGGTATGCTCAAAGATAACAACCGATGGTCGGATACACCTTCAAAGATGCACAAAGGAGAATTTGTACAATGCCTCGATCGTTATATATATATATATTATGATATTTTGCTATATAGTTTTTCTATTTTGTTGTATTATGTAGGAGCCTTACTTTTAATCGTGAACTCAGCAAGATTTTGAAACAGTTTTGCTTTTGCAGGTTGAAACAGCGAAATATTGCGTAAACTTGACAATCTATTCGTTTTGTCTCCCGTAAAAAGTTGCACACGGCTGCGCAAATGCTCTTGTGGCTTTAACCCATTTTGAATTGCACCGAAAGAAAACACCACGGAAGTGATATATTTAAGCCGAATTCTCGAAATGGTTCATCTAGCAGTCGTTTTTTTTAAGGTCAGCATGTTGGAAAGAAATTATGAAGAAATTCAATATCGTTGCAGTGTATTCATAAGGGTGGCTGTACCAGACCAGACCTGTGTAGATGAAGATTCACTGGGGACGTTCAGCATCATAGCCTGGTGATTGATACTTTTGTACTTCTGGTAGAGCACCAGCAATTTTTTCAAGTATAGTTAAAATCAGAAAACTCGGATGTTGTTAAAGAAAATTTGGCAAAGGTATCCAGCGGGACGAAGTTTTCAAATCGCGCTGCTAAGACAAGCATCAAGGCCGACTATATAGAGATTATGAGACCATTATGTGATGGCTGCAAATGCATGTGTATATACATTCAAAACTAAACGTTTGTTACCTGGTATCCACTCTAAGCAAATAAGATTAAAATGTCTTGGGACAAGAAAATGAAATACCTCTACGGCATTTGACCAATTAGGTGCAGTTATTAAAGGCCATATAAACAGGAAGTCTCAAAATGACAGCTACTGCTACTGAGAGGGATAGTTTGCATAAGGCTACAACTGTAAAAAAATTTCACTTGCATAAATAAATGTAAAGTAAGGCAAGTGCAATGAATAGATCAACATAGAGCAGAGGGTACCATTCCTACTCTTGCATTTTTTTTACAACCTGAAACATCAGCTGCTATAACACTTTTGTTTTAAATTTCACAGGCGGTCTTTGAAAATGACCTTCAGGTACCTGTCTGGTAAATGTTTGCATTCCTTTGGAAATATGTAGTCGAAATTTGTTGTAATTATTTGAGAAGATCTGTTATGTTCACGTACTTTAAGAATGTTTACTTGTATTGTTTCTAAACGTTTTTGTGCGATAATCACTTGCGGATACCTTAACCTATACCACTGTTCGTTAAATTAAAATGATGGCGTTTAAATAATAAAAATGTACCATGTCCTCCTCAGTGGTGTTGCATAGATCTTTAGGAAAATCACGTAATGTTACAATTTGAAACCATTTAGGAGAAGGTGGGCACGCTTCTTTGTATAAAATATTAATTGAGACGAATTTTCGAAGTCCAAAACATAATCGTAGTGATTCGCGTTCTAGAAGAGCCAGTGGCCAAAGTCTGTCAGCGGGTGCTCCAGAAAGCAAGACATAGCCTAGCTCCTACATCGGGCGTATATAATACAATAAATTATACATAATGAGCACGTCATGACATAAGCCACATCGTTTACAGCTGTATCTACGAAGAATCCTTACCACACGTGCTCCTTCAGCTTCCATATATTCTACATGCACATCCCAATAAAGTTTTTCGGCGCAATTCTTCCTTAAATACTGACCACATCTGGTGTGCAGCCGATAGGCTTCAGAGCTTACCGATCTTCTTCCTCGCAATACTTATCTATACATACTTATCATGTGGTGGTAGCCCTCCCAAAACGTTGATATAGCCCTGTTCGGCAGCCGAATTCCTTGATAAATGAAGAAGAAGAATTGTATCTCAGTAGTGTTCTTTCCGGGTATCTTTGGCTGATTGAAAAGAACATGCTGTCAGGAGTCGATTTGCCAATGTTTGAATTGTTTCATATAGTTGTTCTTTTCTTAAAGTATATTACATATCCACGAGCTCTGCAAGTTAGGCTAGACAGCTCCCTCATTCCCTTTTTTCTCAATATTCTCAAGGTGTGTATACTAATTTCCTCCTCATTGTCAGACAGCTCGAACGTTTTTTGTTAAAATGGGACTTCAAAGTATGTTTGGAAACCCATATGCATCGGAACAGTCAATCATGCTGTCACAAAAGGAACGTACATTCTTCAAACAGAAGTGTAATAGAATAAAAATGTACAGCTGGTACATTACACCTGTTATATTTCTTCCGTTTAAGCATTATCAGTTAGAAGTTGCCACCGGGGGGACTTTCGTCTCTCTATTTTGACCTCGGTGGTCTGCACTGTATGGGGAGTCTTGTATAACTCAACATAGGCGTACAACATAGGCGTTCAGAAAATTGTGCTTTTAGTCTTCGCTGCTTTAGAACTCAAATTTAAATCCAAGGCCCTTCGTGCCCCAATTGCACGTGCTATTGCACATGGCACACGGCGTAATTATTCTGAAGACCTTCTGCACTTGAACGTGGACGTAATTTGGAGTGCACCGTTCAAAACAGAAGAGACTGCATGCTCGTAAGTCGCCTTCGCATTTAGTACTCATCGAAATTGTGCTGCCGTAGCCATAAATGTGACGCATGCCTTCATGCCGACGCTAAGATGTTTTGGAACGAACTTGCATAGTCAAACTGCGTGAGAGGTAGCAGTGTCTGTAACGACGTAATTCTTTCAGTGCCGAGTTTAGAGCTTAGGGCAGTGACTAATACGACATTTTTTTGTCATTCGTTTTCAAACATAATTTTCAGGCGGCTTCAATTTCACCGTACTTCTTCCCCTGCTGGCAGACCTGGGCAACATGAACCTTTGCGGTGCAAACGGCTGTGGATTCGGTTCCACAGAGAGTGATCGCTGTGCTGGCTCTGTCACTGTAACTCTGCCTTCCCTGGATAATCTCGACAAGGTGAGCATCAGGTCTTCGAGCCACTCACAGCTTACGCTTTTAGGGGCGAAGTACCTTAAAAGGCCACTCACCACTCCGCGTTCAAAGACGATAGGGGTCGTTTTCTCCTCTCCTTGACACACGCGATGCATTCTCCTCGCCCCTTATCTTTCAAAAGCACGTGAATAATGTCAGCACTAAGTGCTAGAGCCTATAATAATTTCGCGCTTCTCGGCTACACGCAGTTATCGCCGCTTGCCCAGGTGTAAGCACACCTAATGAAGTGTGATGAATTGATCGTGCACGATATTCATGCGAGACAAGAAAGAACGGCTAAGCGGCTGCATGGCAAAGCAGTGCAGGAGACAAATCACATTGGATCTTTCACGTAAATGGACCAACTGAGAGCGCGTAGACTATCGATGTCACGGGAACTGCTGTCTGCGTCACAGAGGTGCGCAATCAGGACAAGAAATATCATCAGAGAATATTGTGCTAGTTTTTGGGAGCAAAGCTTCTCTTAGTCTAACCTTGTCCCGCGTCAGGCTTAACTGGCAGTGTCTCCTGAACAGTATAATAGATGGTACGTTTTTATAAAATTGATTGATTGATTGATTGATATGTGGGGTTTATTGCCCCAAAACCACCATATAGTTATGAGAGACGCCATAGTGGAGGGCTCCATAAATTTCGACTACCTGGGGTTCTTTACGTGCACCCAAATCTGAGCACACGGGCCTACAACATTTCCGCCTCCATCGGAAATGCAGCCGCCGCAGCCGGGAGTCATTATAAAGTGTCATTTGTTTTTGTTGGCTGATCTTGTTTTTTTTTCTACAACATTGCTTGAAGTGGCGCATTTACTGAACTCGGAGCAAGCACTGAAAGCCAACCAAGTTCTGTGAAATTTGACGTCACTCTGCACGTTTTCCCTCTTTATCTTTCCTTTGCCCACTCTATTTGGCCCTTCGAATCACATGGTGGAATAGAGATAGATAGATAGATAGATAGATAGATAGATAGATAGATAGATAGATAGATAGATAGATAGATAGATAGATAGATAGATAGATAGATAGATAGATAGATAGATAGATAGATAGATAGATAGATAGATAGATAGATAGATAGATAGATAAATAAATAAATAAGGAATAAACGTGTTAATAAACATGAACGTAAGCCTCCGCGATCGAATACTTCCTGAATTTATTCTTTTGTGCAAAATGCAGTGTTTTGACAATGTGACACTCGGGTGCGTGCAAGGATCAACGAACAAGGTAAGTTCAGCTTCGCAACTTGGCCTCTAGCATGTTTATATTTGTCGCTTTGCGTATTTCTTTCGAGCACTGTTTGCAGAATTGTTGATCCAAGCAAGGCTCAATATAAAAGTGCAAAGTCCGTTAAAAATAAGGCGCAGCACAGTACAGCGAAAGCCAGAAAAGTGACCTTTCAGAGTCATTTCTAAACACTCATTGGGTAGATTCTGCAAGCACACTTGCTTGACACCCACTATGGCAATATTAGGAAACACTTTTTTGGTAGTAGGCCGGCATTCGCTGTGCTATTTCTTGTCATTCTTCTGAGAAGCGTGGTATCCGCTGAATAATTACAAGGAATTTTGTGCCAATTATTGATGCAGTGGCTGATGGCAATGGAGAATTGTGCCTGAAGTGAGTATGTGCCACAGTTATTAGGTGAAAAAGAACAAGCTCTTGTAATGGGTTAGAGAATTGGAAGACCCACTCGTTAGGCTATTGGCCCTGTGGACGACTAGTTGATCTGTGGCTGTTTTAAAACACTTTGAAAGTCGTATTAACACGATTGCTTTCCTGTCATCAAGTCTGCCCAAAGGAAGTTTGCCAGCAAGTCCCAAGCACCAGCATGGCGCAGTGGTAGAATACTGGGCGGGCGCCAAGCGGACCCAGGTTCGAACCCCACTGTGTCATTGGTGTTTTAATTCGTGTAATGTGGTTGCGGACACTGGCGGCGGCGGCAGACAGCTACGGTGGCGCGTGACCCGAGTTGGGGTCTCATGGCAGCTTTCGCTGTAAAAATTTCGTAAGAGGTCGGTCCCAGATATTATTACCCCTCAAATGAATGGGGAAAAATTGTTCAGCTACGTACTAGTCGTGCGAAAATTCAGGCAACAGCCAAGCATCTGATCGTTCTCTCATCTTTTCCCTCCTCCTGATTTTCCTTCATCCCCTTTTTTCTACACTATACCATGCATGGCTATGCTATGCTAGGTCTCCAAATATTCGCGTTCATTGACCCATACCCGCCCCACATGCCACTTGAAGTTCTGCAAAGCCCTAAGAGCTCCGCTGTTAAACCAAGTAATTTTCAGATGCTACTCCACCTTTTGAGGATTCATCGGCGGACTTCTTCTTCCTACCTCAATGCTCCTCCTTCATTTTTAGGCACTTTTTTTATAGCATAAGCTACACTGGTCAATGTTGAGCTGTTTCGCGAGTCATATCGAGAGCCGTGCTGCGCATGTCTGAGAAGCAGAGACGTCACAGTGCACACAGCTGCCGATCTGGAGAAGGTCTGGAATTAAGCTCCTGCAGTAACGTGCCACCATTGGGCTGGCACTTGACTCGCGAGTTTTTGCTCTCTAGTCCGCCCATCTGTTTGTCCACCAGTCCGTAGCTGACGCTTCATATATTGTTGCATAGCCAAGCTAAGCCACTGTTTTCTCGAGCCTTTGAATGGCTTTGCATTACGTCATCATTGACTTTTTTTTTGGGGGGGGGGGGCACACTGCTGAGTTTGATTCTCAACTAGTACACATTAGACATTTTCTTGGTCTGTTTATTTGTAACTGATCAGAATATGAGCTATTATCATCGTTTACTTGCGTCGTATTTGTGAATGATCCGATTCGCGTTCATGAGCGCTTTGATCAGTCAAATGCGTACAATGAGCTAACATGGACACGGTTTTTCGTTCCTTTTTCAGATAGATGGTTTTCAATCTGTGATGCAAGCAATGATAGTAAGTATTGAGTAGTTTATACAAGTCTTAATTGAAACGTAAACGCAGAGCTGATTATTTGCGTTTTTATGCTCTAATGAGCAAATGATAGACAATCGAGACGTCATGAAACTAACAGTAAATGCGCTAATAAGTAAACGCCGATGTTGGCATCATTAGCCCCGTTGAGGTTCCCTGTACTTGTGGCTGGTAGAATTCTATTCTTCTTATAGAATTAATTTGTTAGAAGCGTAAGGCTTAGAAAACAGGAAGGTCCGAGAACAAACCATTTCAGGGTGTTATGAGAAAGTTCGCACGTGAGGCTGCTTATTTATACGCCCAGTATACTCAGGAACGTCGTTATTTATTGCTGCTTTAACAATTAAAAGTGTCCCGTGGGCTAGAGCATGTCTCTTCTCTTTATTATTTTTAGCAAGAAGGTGTCTTTTGAAGGGGTCCACCACGACTCCACTGACGTATTTCTATCACGGATATGATGTTGTAAAATACTTATACTTATAGATTGCAAAAACAAAATGAGAAGGAAAAGCTCTATCACGGGGGCTTACACCAGCAACTTCTCGTAGCCACTATACCACGTAACTCACGCTGGCTATAAAGCTAACGGCAAGCAATTTATACACTCCACATACCGTTAGGCAATCCTCAGAACTCCGAAAATTCAGCGCGTTTTCGTCATCTGTAGCGAGATGGCGCGATGAGCGCGCGTTAAGTAGGGAGCCTACATGACCGCCTGTTTTAGGGTGATGCCAGCCTTTGACTCACTACATGTCACAAACGCTCCTCCGCTCGCCAAAACACAATGTTGCCCGACGACAATGCCCCGCTATCACGCCATATTGTGGCCCGCACAACGTGTACGTCTGGCTTCACTTCATCCTCGAGAATACGGCCCGGCGTCGGCGTCAACACGAAGCAGTAGATGTATCAAGCGGGAAATTTGACCGTCGGTGGCGTCCGTCGTCGGCGTCAACACGAAGGATTAAGTACATCAAAGACCCAGGTAGCACAAAAATCACAGCATATCAACGAGGTAAACGATGAATATTGGGGCGAAGCGGATGGACGCACGGAATGACGCGCAAATGAACAGACAGTCGGACGGATGCATGGGCGGATGGAGGAAGAAAGGACGAACACACGCACGAAGCGACGTATAGATAGACGCACGTACGCACGCATGGACAGACGGTTACGTTTCGAGCTTCATGTATGTAACATGTTGACGGTGACGCTGGACATCGTCGACTGTTATGTTGTGAACTTCATGCATGTAACTTGTCGACGCCGACGCTGGATGATGCCAACGATGATTACGTTTTAGGGGCGAAACTTTTTATAGTGGCACCCGTTCGTCCCTCGCAGTTGTTGTAGTATGCAACAAATATAACGTTTTGTCCTCCAAGGTGGTGCCGGTGAGATATTTCTTTTGTGCGTTGTTGAACAATAAAAAGTAAGGCTGAATGTACATACCAATGGCTGCTAATGGGGAATGAGAGACAGGAGCATTCGGCTTTTAGTTAATGCACACGCTGCAATTCCCATTAGCAGCCATTGACATGTACATTGAGCACAATCTGACAAGAAATGGTTGTAACGTTATACTCGCTGGGTGTAGCCTCCTTAGTTTTAGAAAGGTTTAGCGAGCGTTGAGCCGCATTGCAATGAATACAATGAACTAGTGTATACCATGAATGAACTCGAGGTGGTTAAAAGTGGGAAGTATATACGAAGCGCAAGCCGTGAAAAAGTAAAAGCCGAATTCTCCTGTCTCTCATTTCCCGTTAGCAGCCATTTGCATGTACATTGAGCACTATCTGACAGGAAAAGGTTGCTACATTATATTCGCTGGGCGTAACCTCCTAGGTTTTAGAAAGAATCAGCGAGCGTTGGGCCGCAGTGCGATAAATACAGTGAACTAGTATATACCATGAACTCAAGGTGGTTGAAGGTGGAAAGTAGACCCGAAGCGCAAGCCGTAAGAAAGTGTGCGTGTGTCACCTCTCGTTTAGTCCTTGGAATTTCCGCTGGATGGCGGTGCTTCTATATGGAGAATTTATGATGAAAAGATGCGAGATGGTGGTACTTGGAGTGTTGAATTGATGGACAAATGGACACACAGACAGATGCATGGATGGACGCATGAACAGACGCCGGGGCGGATGCATGGACGAACGCAGGGACGGACGCACGAACAGACGCATTCACGAACGGGTGGATGGACGCATGGACGGTCACACAGACGGACGCATAGACGGACGGAAGCAAGAACGAATGGACGGATGAATGCTTCGCCCCACTCTCCATCATTCACTTCATGGATATGCTGCCATTTTTTTTAATTTGCATGTAATGTGTTGACGCTGATGCTGGACGCCACCGATGGTCACATTTCGCGCTTGATGTACCTAAGTATTAGTGTTGACGCAGACGCTGGACGACCTTGCTGGTTGTTAAGTTTCGAGCTGGATGCATGTAACGAGTTGACTCCGACCCAGAACACCACAAACGGTTAACGTTTCGAGCTTGATGCATGTAACGGGAAGCATTGGTTACATGTGGACGCCAACGTTGGACGACGCCACCGGTGGTTACATTTTGCACTCCATGCATCTAATACTTTGTGTTGACGCCAATGCTGGGCGCCCCCGATGTTTCACGCCTGATGTATCGAAGGCTTTGACTTAATAAGGTATTAGCCACTAAAAATTTGGCAGATCCCATGTACCTGGGAATCGACATTATGCGAAGCATGCGGAAGGAAGGTGACTGCGTTCCAATGTTTTTATTATTGAGCGACACGCCATGAAATGACGCTGAAATGAATGTTGCACGCAAAGACATATGTGAGAGTTCCAGATCTTTATATAACCAGTTTTTTGCACTTGCGCAACGATGCCAACTGGTACAAGCGTATTAGCAAAACTGATATGAAGCGCCGATGCTCGCGAAGATGCTGGCCCTGGACACAGCTAGAGAAATCAAATTCAGCGCATGGCATCTAACCACCATTGACGTTAACCCGACGTGACGGCTGCATCAAAGGAGTACATATGTAATGTTTATAAAATTACGTAGGCAGGCCTGCAATTATTGTTGACATTTCACGAAGATTAGCGTCTATTTGTAAAGTAGTTGCGAAACTTGTCGTAGCTCTGTGGTAAAATGCTTCAGTGCCACGCAGAATGTCCGGGTTCGTTTCCAGCAGGGACCCTGAAATTTATTCTTTGCATTCGTCGGGTCGACACTACCAATGTCAGATATTTTTTCACGCTCAGGCGTTAAACGTGGTCATGTGTATTCTCGTCGTTCCTGGGTAGATACTAAGTGTCAATCACTTGAGGCACACACCTCCATACCAGCGGCACGTATACCCGCCCGTGGGTATAGGTGACTGTCTGGTGGGAATTGTTTGACGACGTACGCGGCGGGATTGGGACTTGATTGATGTCTTGACCAGCGCGTCATATTTGTCAAACCATCTTACGCTCCCATGCTAATTTTGGTTCACCCCACGTAATGGGAGGGGGGGGGGGGTGAACCAAAATTGCCCGAACGCCCGCTTATTTGGGCGGAGTTTTTTTGAAGCACTTTATGTCTCCACCCCCCAAGTGGTCATTTGGGCTCCTTTGCGTTATGCGTTGAGTAGTGTTGGGCGCGGCGCCTCTCGTGCTTAGACAAGCGTCGCTTCCATGGAGTGTGGTCTCTCCTGCCCGTGCGTTTATCAGAAACCCGATTCGGGAGAGCACGAAGGTCACTTCGCTCGATGCTGCGGCCGCGTTTACGAAAGGGCACGTACACCTCACACACGAAGTAAGACTTGTGATGGTTGCTCGGCTTGTCCTTTGTATACTGCTCCTTTTGCTTCGTCCGTCTTTCCATCCCAAAAGCATGCTTTATGTGTCCAGCTGCGACAGCTGTGAGCCCGCGCCCGTCCTCAGTATGCTCATTTCATGCCTGCTTTCTGCTTGAGGTGCACGCTGCAGGCTTTGAACTGCAGCATGCACCTCAAAATTCAGCTAGCTGCTTCGCGGCGATGTCAGTGGGTCATGCTTTCACGGCATTGAGGACATGACCCTAAAGCTTCTCGCACATTTTAATGCCATAACCGTGCAACTTCACCTATTTATTTTTTTAGCACGACGCAAACGTTTTCACGTGAGAGTACACGGCTGTTCCTGCTAGATACCACATCAAAACAACAATTATAAGGTTGCCATAAACGTCAACACAGCACATTGATTGAGTATGCAGCTTCATGTTCGCAGGATGAGACTTACCTCGAGGCATATGCCTGGAAAATGCATTTCGCAGTGACTCGGGCATCCTCATCTTCCGTCGTCTGCTCCACATCATTAATTTGACTAACGAGCTTTACTCCTTTTGTTAGATTCGCTTCTAGGAAGTGCTTGCTAAGCTCATGGATCGTTATGAAGCCGCACTGCATTGTGAGGTGACTCAAACTCAGCCCACGCTCTCTGCACGAGCACGTAAGCGAGCGGCAGCGCATTGGTGGGAAAAGATAACGTGCGATATCCCTCCCAAATTTCAACTTTTCTACCAAAAATGACGCTGTCTGTCCAAAGTCGCAGCGTCACCATGCGTTGCTTTGGCTTTCTTTAGATATTCTCTAGCGTTGTGTCTCACTTGCGTGCCCGCTTATCTCAGCATTCAGGTGCTTTTTACCATTTGTGCTTCCACCACAATTTCGCTTTCAAGTTACAGTAAGCTCATTGCACGCCAAACGTCCCAACCGTTTTGGCGAACCATCTTAAGTGTATTCAAGAAAAAAATGCGCTTATTTACTGCATTGAAAACAGTGAAACGGCTGAAAAAGTTCTGACAGAAAAAGTTTTTGGTCACGTGGCTGCCTTCTGGACTTCTTGGAAAGCCATTTAGGTGTTGTTTGTGAAAATTTTCATTTTAAAAAAACCGCTCCTTTTTTCTGTATCAAACTTGGACTACATGTTAAGTAAACGTTCTTCTGTAAGTTTTTTGAAGTCTAGTAATATTAGCGCAATTTTTCTGCCACATACAACTACAGAAGTTTAGCCAAAAGGCGTCATCTTTGCAATTATTCTATTTCAATACCACATAACTGCAATAATGATCACTGCATTGTCGACTTAACCTTTCCACAAGCGGATTTACGTAGAATTACGGTATATTCAGGCAACACCTAGAAACGTGAATTGGTCTGCAAGTGTGCTCAGGAGTGTGTACTACAATGTAGTATGGCATTCCCCGGTCAAACCAACCGTGACCCCGCTGACTTGGAGAGAAGGCGTTATGAACTGTTGCTCCGTGGTGCCAAAATAGCACACCGACAAAGGGCCAGAGTTGGACCCGAAACATCAGTATTTCTCGGTTTATGTAGTTATAAGTTATTGCTTCAAAATGCATGGGTCGGTGACCCATGCATTTTGCTTCCCGACGAGACAGAATTTGTCAAATGTTAACCTTCTTTTCTAAGCATACGTAGGTATTATCTCGGCAACAGCGCCGAGCACTTTGAGGCTGCCATCAATCCATGTAGTCGGGATATTCGCATTAGGATTACTGATGTCTGTACAACATAGTTTACACTCTCATAGGCGAAATGATAGAATATGCATTTGGCTTGGCACATGTTCTTCGCAGTGCACAATCTACGAGTTGCCGGGAAGCCCCTTGGCGCACTTACACAGATCGATTGGCTGCGCTCTGGTCAACGCTTTGAGGGCAGCCGAGAAGAAGAACCCTGATGTCCAAATGGTCCTATTTGCATTTGAATCGGCTGTCAGGAACACGCTAGACATTTATGACTGTAAGTGTTGCTTGTATTATTTCGTTTTACTTAAGGAAGCAGTTGTGAACTCCGTATCGCGATAGCCATCGAACCTCACGCTTGTGCGAAGGCGAGAATAATGTCCACAAAATCCCGAGAGTGCAAAATAGCAGCCCGACCAAACTGACGCGGACCCACCACTACTATCACACAACATGACTGGGCTTTTTCTCAACACCCTTTTTACAGTTCACATAATTTTTTAGTATATCAACTTGTATATTTGTAAAAGCTGGTGCGCTTTTTTTTTCTTGCGTATTTCAGCCAAAGACCCTAATGAGGCTGAAGCTCAACTGGACAAGCAACACTTCACTCCTGCGATTCCCTCAACTTCAAAAGAAAGTGTATTTAGTTTTATTAGCCCTTTAATACCAAAGTATTACATAGGAGAGTAGGCGGAAAATTGGCGCATCAGCCTCATCACTGTGAAACTTAAGGAAAAGCTGTTGTAATTTATTTATTTATATTGCTACTGGTGCTACGACTGCTGTTATTGAAATGGTAGGACTACTGTAGCATCCATATTCTACGCTGTGTAATGTGCGGTAATGTGTAATGACTATCAGATGCTGTTTTTCTGTGGTTCCGTTTTCGCGCACGGGAGGAGTGGCACGGTTGTTCTGGCCCATTGACTTAGCGTGGAAGCTGCCTTCTTGCACACCGCGGCTGGGCCTGTCAGGCGATGTAGACGTTTTCCCTCGTTACGTTGTGATTTTGTTTCGAACAACATGCAGGTTCGTTTGTTCACATGGAATGTTGGAGGCGTCACCTCAAGACACTCCCAAAAGGACGAGCCCACTTTAAACCAACACTTAATAACACTAATACGAAAGCAAGTAACCCCAACAACGAGAAAAAATACATTAAAGACACAACCGATCCTACTCATAGGATAAAGTGACAAAGAAATGCAAATGCTATAAGCGTATAATCCAATTATTCAAATCTAATACTGAGTTCCTACCACACCGTTTGTTGCGAAAAGAACTCACGGGTATCTCACCAGCATAGTGACGGAGATGGCCATGCGCAACCCATAGAAGTCGATGAAGTTATTGCCATTGGCGTTGACCACCTCAATGATCGGCTGTATGGATTGACGCTGGACCCGTTAGCACTGAACTCGAAGGGCCAGCTCCGAAGATCAGTTCTGGCCGGACAGCTCCGTCCAAGCTCGGTCTCGAAGCCCGACTGTTCAGGCAGGTCCACGGGCACAGGAATGTTGGCTCAGGAGCATCCCACGAGCGACCCACAGCCAGGAACAGCAGGCAGCATTGAACACCCTGATGTCACCGGTCGACAGAGGTCTTGACTCGGAGCCGAAATCCAGTAAACCGAACAAATGCCCGTCTTTTCTCGCTGCTACAGCTGGCACTGCCTCTTCCACTTTTCTTCACTTCCCTCCCAACTGGCGTTTCATTCGCTTATTTTATTCGTTTTGTTTAGTTTTTTTTCACGCCTATCCCAACTTTCTTCTCCGTCGTTTTCCATGTAGTTTCATGGCACACACCTTCAACTCCGTCCACTTCACTAAAGAGCCCCCTTTCATTTAGTTTTCTTTCTTTAAAAAAAGACAACTGTTAAGTGTGCGTTTTGGATCCCACCACAAATGTACCGCAATTGTGTTCCCCGAACAAATTACAAGATTGTTCAAACATCTACATTTACTAAACAATAAACGCACAAGATATGAGGAGGAAAATATATAAACACTTTATAGATCGATAAAGTTCACAGATACAAAAGTTCACGTGTTCAGTAAACTGCCCATTTTGTACATATATAATGTCATGTAAAAAGAACTATACAAATTAATAAACAAAAATATTTTCAAGATATACACCTCCGTTGTCCACATTCAAAACCAAAAAGAAACAACTGGTTACTCAGACTTCAGCTTTCTTAGACAGTAACACTGTTGGCTCTGATTGTTCAAGTCATAGCTGAGTTCTCAGTGCTTTTTTATAGCTTCTGGTTCTGCGTCGGTCTGCTCAAGGACTCTAGCTAGTAGCTTCTCGTTCTTCAAACCTCGCCTTCAACTCCGCGTCCTCAAACCTCACGCTCAATTTCAAGGTTTTAATACATCCATTCTCATGGTTCCTGCCATATTGTCAGCCTAGCTCAACTGTTACAAATGTTCTCATCCTGTCACTGTGGACGCCAGTTTAAGATTTCTACTTGTTTTCACAACATGCAGGCTCTTAATAAATTAGGGCTCGAAACGTCGCCACAGACACGCACAAATGGACGAGGCCAATTGCAGAACATTTGTTACACGGTAAGCAAGCTCAAGCACTAGGGACCATTTAAAATACCATAACACACTCAACAGAACCACATAAGTCCTAGCGTAACAGCTCATTAGCTCAGCAAAGACGCGAGGCACGACGGTGGTCTTCACAAGGCTTGTACGGGGTGGCAGGTTGCATAGTGGAGCTCACTGCCCAATGGACGGAACATCCTTCCAAAGCAGCTGGTCAAGGAGGTGGCTCCGACGCCGCAGCCGCATCCTAGCCGGACACCTACGCCAGAGCTCGTGCCCGAATTTCGTCAGCCACACGTGTCCACGTGTACACGACTCCCCAAGAAGGAATATATCACAGACGCACCATCATGACCTGGCAGTTCGGGGCAGGATGCTCGGGGTTTGACTGGTCACAAGGCTCGGGTGTGTAACCTGACAGCCATGAAATGTGCCCCCTCTTCTTCGTGGCTTCTCTTGTCACCTCTCCCGCCACACCGCTTTTCGCTTTCTTGAATCTCATGGCCTATGCTCCAATTCGTCCTTGTTTTTTTTCTTTTCATTTCTCCAGTGCCCATGCGACTTTCTTCGTCTTGTTACTCCCTGCGATGTTGCGATGGCGCACATTTCGAACTCCAGCACACGTCACTCATTACACCATTGTGCTTTCTTTGTTTTAATATTCGCTTGCCTGCGCTGACGAGCCGCAGTGGTTTGGACATTATCGATGCCGGGCATCCGTCCTATCCGCTTACATTCTTCAGCTGTTTACTGACCCTTCACTTGAAGAGGCACAGTTTTGTGTCACTAAGCTTGCCGCGCTTGTCGAGCTGCGGCTGCTCGCTAAGCCTTCAGCTCGGCATTTGCGTGGCGTCAACGCTGTCTTTCCAGGCGCAGTTGCCAAACGGCAAGCGCTGACTGGTCGATAGAGAAGAGCTGGTTGGATGACAAATCGCACACCTGGCGCGGTGTTGGACTTGGCACCCTCTTTGAGCGGCGCTGGTTTTGGGCGTTGTTAGCCTTGTTGTAGTCCTGTACTGAGCGCTTGATTGTGCGCGTAATTACGCCGCACGAAATGTATTGGTAGGTGTCAAGCCAAGCTCTTAGAGTGCTACGTGCTTAAAACATGCACAAATAAGTAACAGCCAGTGAACCAAATTGGGTAATTGAACCCAGGAGCATTGGTATCTGCTATGGCTGAACGAACAGTTGCGTTCATTTCGATTGAAACAACTGCGCCGGTAAAGAGGCGGCATTCCTGAGAAGTTGTGAGAATCGATGAATTGTGGAAGACGAGGGTGTGGCCAATGACGCAACTGAATATTGGCGCCCACGACAAATATACTTCCGCCCCGCTCAGGATGGCAACTACAGCTATTAATAATAATAATAATAATAATAATAATAATAATAATAATAATAATAATAATAATAATAATAATAATAATAATAATAATAATAATAATAATAATGTAGTAAAAGTAGCAGCAGCCGTAGTTGTATAGCGGTCGTTATGCGCAAAATACAAGCCATCTGTGGCTGTTCTGTGCAAGTGAATGAGTGACCTCTTGATTGATTGTCCACTACAGTTAACTAAAGCCCTCTTCCACGTCCACGTGTCGTACGACGCACCAAAAGTCCACAAGCAGAGTATACTAGAACATGGGGAAGGCCCGGACCGAGCTTCGAAAGTTGAAAGACAAACAGGGTCAATCTGCTTGTCGTACTGCGGTCGGTATTATGCAATGTGTCGTCATTTTGAGAGTTGCGAGCACCTCCGCCATATTGATGCATGGGTGAATGCTCGCTTCCCACTTAAAGTCCCGGATTATAACCGCAGCTGTATATGGTACATTTTTATTCTTAGTGTTACTTGTACAGCTGTGTTTGTTTGGCTTTATTTCTTAAATCTAGTTTCAGTTGCTACCTGTTGCTACAAAAAGTTGCGCAAAATGTGTAGTAGTAGTGGTTCTTGAAGAAAAAAAAAGGCACTTACTTTCTGTCTGCCTAATTGGCGACAAGGTGCAGTGCCTGTGGGGAATGGCAGAAGGGGGATAAAAAGAATAGCAGAAAGGTAAAGAACAAAGAGCACTCGCCGCACAAATGCGACAGAAAGAAGAGAGAAGAAATACTAAACATGGCGGGCATGGTTGAGGGAGTCCGAGGACGGAGCACCACTCGGCGAGAGCTACGCTGGCGTGAGAGATCGTGGGCGACACAACCGTTCAGCACGGAATTCAGCAAGCGGGTCCCCCAAAGTGTGTAGATAGAAGACAAAATCTGACAGTGAGTTTATTTCCAGCACCACCACACGGGATTCAGTAAACACATAAAGTATGGCCACCGAGAATTTAGCAACTACGAGGCTCGTCCTGCGTGTGCTCGATACGCTGCTTCCTATCGGCTGCCGCTGACTATCTTCAAAGAAAAACGAAAATTTCACCACCTTCGATCAGCGGCAAACCACGAAAATCTGAATGCCGCAAACGTAGCATTATTTTGTATGTTCTTTGAGTGTTCCTCCTGACACTACAGAAAAAGTCATTTGGCTGGTGATTTCAACAAAGTCATCATAAGGTGCACGTTAACAGGTTACCGTGTCGCCACTAGAAATAGAGTATTATTGTACAACTGATTGTGCAAACACATACAAAAATAATACATTATGATGCAAATATATTGTGCATTCATGCATGACCTAAGTAAATTGTGTACATGAATATTCGCGCTCGCCATG